ATATATATATATATATATATATACTAATAAAAATGACAGAATTCTTAAAATGTAAAAATCAAAATGAAAAGTATAAAAATTATTCAATATATTAATAAAAACTATAATAGTATCTCGGTTATATTAAAATAACACTGATCAACTTTTGTTCTGAAATAATGTTTTTATTACTTAAACCAATTCATTTAATTGAAAAACAAAAGTTTTAATCAATTAATCACACTTATTTAATAATCCACACTCAAAAACGGAGTTGCATATAAACATTTAAATTGCACTTCAGGCAGATTTTCAATGAACTGGTTAATGAAATAATTGTTTTTACTCCAGCTTTAATAACTTGTTTTCATGACCGATTTATGCATATATATATACTACCAGTCAAAAGTTTTTGAACAGTAAGATATTTAATGTTTTTTAAAGAAGTCTCTTCTGCTCACCAAGCCTGCATTTATTTAATCCAAAATACTGCAAAAGCAGTAATATTGTGAAATACTTGTACTATTTAAAATAACTGCTTTCTATGTGAATATCTGTTAAACTGTGATGCGAAGCTGTATTTTCAGAATCATTACTCCAGTCTTCAGTGTCACATGATCTTCAGAAATCAGTATAATATGCTGATCTGCTGTTCAAGAAGCATTATTATTATTATTTAAGAGAATTCTGTAAAAAACATTAAAAACTGACTGTTAATGTATACGTTAAATATTGAAGAACAGGTTAAGTAAGAATATAATGAATATGTAATATAGTGATATATTTAGCTTGTCTCTAGAGTTCATTTTTCTAGCTGACTATCGAGTTTATGGTCATTAAATGACTTTTCTGAGGTAAATGTGACATTATTGGTCACAAACGGTTTTATTGACGTCTTTACTCCACATTTACTGTTTATATTGCTATAAACTGACACAATTTTTCTTATAAAAAGGAACAGCACAAAGCTTCTTACATTTACATTTATATTTAGTCATTTAGCAGATGCTTTTATCCAAAGGGACTTACAAATTAGTAAAGCTTTATTTATATAGCATGTTTTAAAACGGTGTTTACAAAGTGCTTTACAGCATAGAAAATGTACAATGCACAATAACAAACATAAAAAAAATTTAATCACATAATAGAAATAAAATAATAAAATGAGTCAAGGAAAGGCCCTAGTGAACAAATGCGTTTTGAGATACTTTTTAAAAGTGCACAGTGAGTCGATGGCTCGTAGGTTGGGACCGAAAATAACTAAAGGCTGACTCACCAATTTTTAGCCGAGTCTTAGGCACAACCAACAAATTACTGTTTGATGTTCGGAGCGATCTTGCTGGAGTATATTTATTTAACAAATTAGAAAGGTATATAGGGGCCAGTTCCATGAAGACCTTTAAAAACTAATAAGAGGATCTTAAATTCAATTCTGAATGATACAGGCAGCCAGTGAAGGGATTTGAGTGTTGGAGTAATGTGATTTCTAATTTTAGAGCGAGTTAGCGTTCGTGCAGCTTCATTCTGAACTCTTTGTAGGTGTTTAATAGAGCTCTTTGGTAACCCAGCAAAAACACTGTTGCAGTAGTCAAGTCTAGACGTAACAAATGCATGAACAAGTTTCTCACTGTCAGAAGGGGAGAGAATGTCACGTGCTTTGGAGTTGTTTCTGAGGTGATAATATGCGGTTTTAGTAACCATGCTAATATGTTTTTTAAAACTGAGGTGGCTATCAAATATAATTCCTAAGTTATTGGCCTGATTACTGGCTTTTAGTGATAGAGAGTCAAGATGTGGAGCAATAGATCCTCTCCGCACGTCATTACCGATAACAAGTATCTCTGTCTTATCTTTGTTTAGCTGTTAAAAATGTTTCTGGGACATCCACAATTTTATGCTCTCTATGCAGTCAAGTAGTGTGGAAATTGAATTATGGGCATCTGGTGCAAGTGAAAGATAGAGTTACATGTCATCTGCATACTGGTGAAATGAAATATTGTACTGGTTAATTACACCAGCTAAAGGAAGCATGTATAGGTTAAATAATAGAGGACCCAAAATCGAGCCTTGAGGAACACCACAAGAAATGGCGTAACGCCTGATGGTGTAGGTACCCAGTGTAACACAGTATTCCCTGTTGCTTAAGTAGGATCTGAACCAGTCTAAGATAGGACCTGATAGACCGACCCAGGTCTGAAGTCGTTCGAGTAGAATCTCATGATCAACGGTCAAAAGCAGCACTCAGATCTAAAAGAACAAGGATTGCCAAGTTTCCTAAGTCCCGAATAACTTGCAAATCGTTTAAGACCCTAATCAAAGCTGAGGACAATAGAAGCAATCAAAATCAACAAAAGAGCAATAATATGCAAGTGCTATGACAAGTCTCAGTTAGCCCAACGCAGTACACATAGCAAGGTGGTTTATATAGATAGATAGACAGAATAGAAAAAGAATAGAGAAGGCTAATGTTAGAGAGTTAGAAAAGGAATAGAGAGTGCAAGTGTTGTTCTTGTGATTATTGGATAGTAAACGTGATGTTTAGTGACGTTTTGTTCATGAATCAACTGAAAACAGCACAGACTAGAAGATCTCGGTTCATCAGAATGAAGATCCATTAAAATGAGAAATCAATATTAATGTCATTGTTTCAGTGATTTCGGCCCTCCAAACCAAATATTGAGGTTGCTGAATCTTCAGTTTCCTCCGCAGGTTTTTGAGGTTATCTGAGCCGTGCTTTGCTCTGGTTCTCGTGTCCGGTGAGTTATTCTGGGCCCGTCTGTGCTCTCGAGGGATTGTTCTGGTCCCGTATCTTGTGCTGGGCCTCAGGTGTCGATGTTCTGCTCCAGTTTGGAGACGTTTGCTCTGTCGTAGATGGATTACAAACCTCACACATAAAAGAGAGTGAGATAACGGATTAGAAACAAGAATCCCTGTGTTTCTGAGTGTGTTTAGTGCAGATCTTCAGCTGATGAATGCTGGAGATTATACTGTATGTACATATATTACACTCTTACAGTCCGTAATGCAGGAAAACGGTTTCTTTTAGATGTATTTGTGGTTAAAGAAACACCCGAGTCAGATTTCAGTCTAAAATTCAAAAGTGAAAATACACACACTTGCAGTGTGTGAAAATATCTATTTTCACCAAGGCAAAAAAAACACAGTAAAACGAAATAATTTAAATGTACATTTAAAAAAAAAAAAAAGAAAAAACTTCGGAAAAAAGCTGAATCACAATTCTAAAAATCTTATTTTATTATTTTGTAAATAAATAAATAATATTAAATATTCTATGTATCTTTAAAAAAAATTAAAATTGTTTTCTTATTAATATACTGTATATGTACAGTTGTGCTCAAAATTATTCATACCCTTGGTAAATATGATCAGAGAAGGCTGTGAAAATTAATCTGTGTCATCAGTCCTTTAGATATTTTATTTAAAAAAATGACTAATCTACACGTGTACCATGTGCTTAACCTACACGCATGTAAATAATGAAAGCGCATATACTGTATTAGAACTGCATCGCATGCTGGTTAGTGAGGTTAACTATTACTTGTATAGAATTTTTTTTAGTACTGGTTCTTTAAAGAGCTGGTGTTTACTGCCATAAAAACAGCACCTTCGACAAAACAATATTTCAAGACTGTTAAAGAGTGATTTATTTCCTTTTTTATTGTTGAAAGTAAACTGATAACTGATTCCTTTGTGAGCTGTGCAGTAATATCTTGATTATTTTCTCAGGTAAGTGGCTGGCCTGTCAGTCCATGGACAATCAGATCCTGATCTTCGGAGCGCAGAACAGATTCCGGCTCAACAAGAAGAAGATCTTCAAGGGTCACATGGTGGCGGGATACGCCTGTCAGGTGGACTTCTCTCCGGACATGAGGTGAGTCTCCTCAAACCAGTCGTTTCTGTTCATCTGCAGTCACTGACTGCTGTGATTAGAGTTTAAAACATGCTAAATGCTCCCGAATCAGGACGGGTTTGAAACTGTAAATATTAGTATTAAAATTAAGCAACATTGTGAATATTATGAGGATGATTTTAAAGTGCTTTTATTTGACCGTTAAGTCTTAAAGACCGCAGCAAGATGCCAGATTCATGAATATAAGAGCACTAGTTAGTTTAAAATGCTAATTATTTAATTTGTTATTAAACGCTCCAGGTTTGCCAATTTGGCAATTTTGGGAAAAAGTGCTTTATTTATCGATATAAAAAGAACACCGTAATAATAGCTCTGGTTATTATTATTACTACTACGTAAAAATATTAATATTTATTTATTTATAACAAAAATCGCAATTATTTTTCACTAAAATAAAAAATTGAGCATTGAAGAAAAATAATTATTGTTAATTATATAATTATTATAAGTTGCAATACTAATGTTTATGTCTGTCTGTCTTTTTCAAACACGCTTGTTTTGGTGGAGCAGCATATATTTAATAATTATAAATACATTTTAATCTATATTTAATATTTGAATAGTTTGGTAATCACATTATGATTTGTGTTGGTTTGATAAATATGAAAATAAAATAATGTTATGATTTTATTATTATGATTATTGTTGCTAAATAAAATGATAAATATTATTTGTTTAAAACAAAATAATAAATATTGGGTATAAACAAAAAAAAATTGGGAAAATAGTATAATTATTATTTTGTTTTACAGTACATCTGTAAAATTGCAGTATTAATATTAATGTCCGTCTTTATTTTCCAACATTAAATCATCAAGCTTTTATTTTGGTGGAAAATTTTATTTTTGGGAAGCAACGTTATGTATTTAATTAAATCTCAGTCTTTGAGATATGATCATTTTGGTTTTTATTTTGATTAATCGTGAAGCCCTAGACAATGAAAATGTTCATTATGTTCATAAATATGTATTTTTATATTGATAGAGTTTCATTCTCACTTGTTCATTTAGTGTAAATCATTGTGGAAAATATGCCTTGATGATTTCAACTATATTTTTAATATATTTACTTAGTTTGATTTATTTGACTAGAATGATGTTTTGATTGAAATAATGATTCCTCTGATTAAAAATAAAACAAAACACCATAATAACCTTTTTGAAACATTTCAGAGCAATGCATAAATATGGACGTATATTTTTAATCCTTAAAAACCTGAAAAAAAAGTCTAATATTTTGTCATTTATTTTTATATATAAAATTATAGCTGTATTTTCTGTCACAGTGCATGTTCTCCTGGTTATTAATAATTGCTTTGCATTAAAAAGAGCTTTATTTGGTGGTGTTTTGACCTGGTTCTCTCGCTGTGCGCTGCAGTTACGTGGTCTCCGGAGATGCCGACGGGAAGCTGAATATCTGGGACTGGAAGACGACGAAGCTCTATCATCGGATCAAGGCGCATGATAAGGTGTGCATCAGCGCGCTCTGGCATCCTCACGAGACGTCGAAGGTGATCACCTGCGGCTGGGACGGACAGATCAAGCTCTGGGACTGACCTGAACCTCAGCTTTTAACACTGATGTGAGAGGATTATTATTCTTACAGGGCTGGTATCCAGTCATAAACACACACACACAACAGAGACTTCAGCTCATGCGTTTTGTTTTATAATGAATGAACCTGTATCTCCAGTGTCTCGCATTTCTGTCTTTTTGCGGATAATAAATGTCTCTTGTTTATTTCTGCGGCCGGTGAAATTTTCCCATTCTTTTTCAACATAGACGTTGAATTACAACAAAGCATTTGATTAGAGGCATAAAAAAGATACTTTAACATCTTTAATGAGGGACTAAACTCCTCAAGACGTTATAGTGTAAAATACCGCATTTTAATTCTCTATATATGCATTTTTTTTTTTCATATTCATTACAGTAGTATGACAATTGTAATATTTCTTTTATTTAATTGTAATAATTTAAATACTATTATTCTAAATAATAATGATTATTACTATTATTTCTTTATTCATTCAAATTTTATAATTTGAGAAATTATTCTGAATTATATTTTTACTTAACAATAGTATAATGGCGGTTGTAATATTTATTTTATTTAATTTTATTCTTACTAATAAAATAATTATTATTTCTTCATTTACATTTATAATTTAGGTAAAATTATTCAGAATAATTCTAATAATAAATATTATTAATAATAATATTTTATTAAATTCAATTTTACAGTACAATAGAATTATTGCAAGTTAAATTTATTGATTGATTTAATTTTTATAATTTAAATATTATTCTGCACTATTCAACGTTAGTGCAATAGTAATATTTATATATTGATTTAAGTTTTATAATATGAATATTATTCTGAATATTTGAATTTTAAGTTAATGCTGAATATGTAGGTATATAATTGTTGAGCTCCTGATTCTATGGTAAGAGCTACTTTGGATTGGAAGCCGTATTTTGCCTCAGCATTATGGGTAATTTACTTCTTCACTGGGAATTCTGTTGATAAACACACTTATTATTCATTTATTTTATGGGAAAGCACACCTGCTGTTTCTACAGAAGCAAATATCATAACTGCACAACAGTGTGTTTATTACACAAAACATTTCGCTCATCCCTTCACGAAGAATTCAATCCCAGAATGCACTTCAGCAATCTCAGTAAAAATCTCCTCCAACAGTCAAGGTACGTGACGAATATATTTTATACACATTGTATTTGCACACAATGTTGAGTGAATTCAGGTTTTCTTATATTCATAAAGTGGCCTGAATTTATCTGAATTCAACCCATTTTTATCAAGCAACATGTTAACAAAAAATACCATAAATATATTCTATTTTGTACTGAAACATGTAGCAAAATAGCCCTTTTGTACAAAATGTTGTGTGAATTCAGTTCACCCGATTCATCTGAATTTCTGAATTCAACCCATTTTTATCAAGAAACATGTTTTAAAAAATATACCGTACATATATATTTTATTCTGAACTGAAAAAAAAATTGCAAATAGTCATTTTAATTCAACTGCGGTCCATCCCAAATGCATTTTGGATGGTTTTTACAACTGCTCTTTTCACAAAAAGATAGCTATTAATAATATATGTGATCCTGCAGCATAAAAGCAGTCTGAAGTCGCTGGGGTATATTTGTAGCAATAGCCAACAATACATTGTATGGGTCAAAATTATACATTTTTCTTTTATGCCAAAAATCATTAGGATATTAAAGGGGTCATCTGATACCCATTTTCCACAAGTTGATATGATTCTTCAGGGTCTTAATGAAAAGTCTGTAACATAGTTTGGTTAAAATTTCTCAATGGTAGTGTAAAAACACCTTTTTTACCCTGTCAAAAACAGCTCTTTTCAGATCAAGCCGTTTTGTAGCATTTCCCTTTAAATGTTAATGAAGTCTGCTGACCCCTTCCATCTCTTCCGAGCTGCTCTCAGAGAGACTGTTTACTTTAGCCGCATTCATAGTGAAATAGGGTGGTTGTGTACACACACTGCTAACACACATTTCAGTTCAGACAACTTGTAACAGTGCATGCAGCATCCGATGACCCCTTTAAGGAAAGATCATGTTCCATGAAGATATTTTGTACATTTCCTACCGTAAATATATCAAAACTTAATGTTTGATTAGTAATATGCATTGCTAAGAACTTCATTTGAACAACTTTAAAGATGATTTTCTCAATATTTTGATTTTTTTGCACCCTCAGATTCCAGATTTTCAAATAGTTGTATCTCAGCCAAATATTGTCCTCATATCATAACAAACCATACATCAATGGAAAGATTATTTATTCAGCTTTCAGATGATTTTCGAAAAATTTACCCTTATGACTGGTTTTGTGCTCCGCAGTCACAGATGTCATGTTCTCACATCCTCATAGACTTGCGCCAGACTTGCACTGTACATGTGGCACAGAAGCGCTTCTGAAGTGGCATGTAGGCGTGTAAGAGGAGGCATAACTGCATTATTCAGAGCGTGAAGCGCGTGTTGACCCAGCCGAGTGTGAAGGAGCTGCTGGTGTTGCGGAGGTTTCTGTGCAGGAAGAGGCGTGGCTTGCTCGGGTCGCTGTAGCTGTGGTAGAGGCGGAAGTGAGCGCGCTCCAGCTCCCTCAGCAGACTGAACCAATAGCGGACCACCGAGGGCTCGTCCCCGCCCACCTCAAACCCCGCCCACTGCAGGTGCAGCTCCAGCAGCAGCAGACCGACCGAGTCCAGCACCTGCTCCAGGATCAGGTTCTCCAGGATCTTCCACTCTGCGCTTTCCAGATCCACCTTCAGCACATCCACCTGAGAGGAACACCATCATCATCATTACTGACACAAACCTGACTCCTCCCAATACTACACCTGGTACACTGAGGTTAGTAGTGCTTTTGTAGGGATGTAACATTTGTCAGCCTGCAGCACAAAAGCAGTCTTAAGTCGCTGGGGGATATTTGTAGCAATAGCCAACAATACATTGTATGGGTCAAAATTATACATTTTTCTTTTATGCCAAAAATCATTAGGATATTAAGTAAAGATCATGTTCCATGAATATATTTTGTAAGTTTCCTACCGTAAATATATCAAAACTTAATTTTTGATTAGTAATATGCATTGCTAAGAACTTAATTTGGACAACTTTAAAGTTGATTTTCTCAATATTTAGATTTTTTTGCACCCTCAGATTCCAGATTTTCAAATAGTTGTATCTCAGCCAAATATTGTCCTATCCTAACAAACCATACATCAATGGAAAGCTTATTTATTCAGCTGATGATGACGTATAAATCTCAATTTCAGAAAATTTACCCTTATGACTGGTTTTGTGCTCCAGGGTCACATATTTATACCGATTTCAATATTTTCCAACCCAAATTATGATTTGCATAAATTGTGTAAATCCAAAGGGAAAAAATTGGATCATTTAGAAAGAAGCTCGGTTTTCTTTTCTTTTCCCTCACACAAGCCATTTTATATTTGTAGTCTGACATGCTTCTTTTTTATTATTTATTTATTTATTTATTTATCAGTTTACAATATAACAACAATCAAAACCATTAAAAAAAAATCTGCATATCTACAAATATGAAAACATGCATCATCAAATCCAATTTGTGTTAAATTAAAACTGAAATCAAATGATGTTATAACAATGGATATTAAATTATATAGGCATGAGTCGAAGCTCGGTTTTCAAGCAAAACATTGGAAAGCATATGTTAGTAGGCTACTGTAATTTTACTGTTGTTCTGTAACATATTATTAATTATTATTAGATGCAGATTTTTTACTTTACAGTACAATAATCTTATTGCACTGGTATTATTTCTTTATTAGTTTAATTTTTATAACTTAATTAAAAATATAATTTTAAATAATATGAATTATTATTAATAATAAATTCAGATTTTACAGTACAGCAGAATTATTGCAATAGTAGTATTCGTTAACTCTTATAATTTAATTAAAAATATTGTTCTGAACAATAATAATAATAATAATAATAATGCTTATTTTCTAACTACAGTACAATAATGTTATTGCAAAAGTAATTTCTTTATTCATTAAATGTTTATAATTTAAATAAAATGTTTATTCTTAATAATAATATATTTTTAATTTTTGCTTTACAGTACAGTAGTATTATTGCAATGGTAATATTCATTGGTTTATATTTTATAATTATATAAATAAATATACAATTAATATAATAAAAATTGTTCTTGTTATTGTTGTTGTTGTTAATCATTATTACATGCTCCTTCTTTGCTTTACAGTAAAATAGTGTTATTGCAGGAGTAATACTTCTTTCTTCATTTATTTTTTATAATTTAAATAAAATGTTATTTTGAATAATAACAATTATTTTCATTAATTGCTTAATTAATTTCTTTACAGTAGAACAGTTTTATTGCAATACTAATATTTATTTATTGGTTTAATAAGGTTTCTGGAGATGATCAGCGAGCAAACCGTACGTTACGAACATAGACATTTAAAATAAGAAATAATAATAGGAAAAATGTAAATAATAAAAATGGCAAAACAAAATTAACTAAAATTAAAATGAAAAAAATAAAATAAGAACTAATTCAAGATATTAATAAAAAAACTATAATAGTATCACAATGATACTATATAATTATTAAAAGTATTTTTAATAAATTGGGGTACAGCTGCAATAAAATATTAATATTGGATGAAAAACTTAAAAAAAAAAAAAACTAAAGTTTACTTCGAAGTACTGAAATTACAAAAACTGAAATATAAATAAATTAAAGATACATTTTTAAATAGATAAATAAAAAAACTGATAAAGATGACAAAGCAAACAAAAAAATATTAAAATTAAAACAAATATGAGCAATATATTTCAAAACAATTATGAAATATAATACAAGTATATATAAACATTTCCAATATATTATCAAAATTAATAACTAATCCAAAATATGAATAAAAACAATAATAGAATCACAGTGATACTGTAAAACTATCAAATCATGTTCGTAAATTGAAATACAGATTAAATAAAATATAAATATTAGATGAAAAGCTTATTTTAAACTCGTTTAAGTACTAAAATGACTAAAACTAAAAATTAATTAA